CAATGCTGGTCTTCGCTAGCCTTTGCTCAAAAAACGGTTTTAGTAACTGCAATAACACTTTGAAATTGTCGTTGGTCATCCTCACAGACTTGAAAAATAACTCTGAATTTTTCTCAACTAGTATATTGAATCCAGTAGTCTGAAAGCCAAACTCATCTCGGCTTTACCGCTTACCGGACCATTGTAGTGTTTTTCAAGCAGAATTAAACGCCATAATGGAGGCGGCACGGAGGGTTATAACCTCCCCCCCTGCAAGATGGCCTATTGCTATCTATTCTGACAGCCAGGCTGCTATCAAATGTCTCAATTCTAACGGAAGAACCTCCAAAGTAGCCATAGAATGCAGGAAGATTCTCAACCTGCTGGCATCAAAATGCTCCTTGACTGTTGTATGGGTCCATAGGGGCATTCCTGGCAACTGCCTAGCTAACGAGCTTGCAAGGAGAGGGACGGAAATATCTGAAGTAAATTCTGCTCAGAATGCGGGCATACCTCTAACCTCCTGCAAACACAGACTAAAGGCGGAACTCGTCGAGGAGGTAAATTTCAGGTGGGCTGTCGAAACCACCTGCCATACTACCAGGCAAATTTGGCCAAAGATTGATGTAAAGCGATCCATAGCTCTTACCCGGCTGGACCGCACCTCTCTCAGATTAGTACTTGGGGTTATCACCGGATACTGCCTGATGGGCACACACGGAAAAAGGCTAGGATCAGCGTTGCCATTTTAGCCGTTTTCCGGCTAGATTTAGCCGGTTGCGACAGCAAACAGCCGGAAAAAATTCGATTTAGCCGGCAGCCGATTTGTTAGCCGTTTTGCAAAAAAAAAGTTGCATTTTTAGCCGATTTTGCTCTTCGCCTTATTTTATTAAAATTCAAATACAAGTTGTTATTTTTACAAATTTAGTACTCCAAAATCTATTAGAAATGGCTATTCTTATCTCTGAGAAAATTTTCATGTCGGACTGTTATATAAAATTTAAAAACAATCAGATAGTGAGCCGATTTCAAAGTTGTTTATTTTAAGCGAGTGACCCAAATACACATAAACTGGGACACGTCATTTTAGCAAATTAAAAAGTTACAAGTTTTGCTGAAATTTTGCCGAACTTTCATAATTTTTACACCAAGTGTGAAATCTGTTTGTAGTGTATGTTGTTTGTTAAGTAATGAGGTACATATTCATAAAAAATAATAAATATTAAATAAACTAAAGAAAAATAGGCAAAACTTGCTTCAATTTTGCGTCCCAGTTTATATTTGGGAGAACATAGCGGGAATTTTCTTCATAAAATTTTTGTTATGAATGTCTTAAATTTAAGTGTGAAGTTTTATTCGCTACACTTAGAAAATAAAAGAGTACGAATTTCGATGTGGAGCAAAACTCTCTGGGAAGACAATACATGAAGCAAACATACTTTTTAACTTTTATAAAATAAAACTGCAGTAGTTTTCCATCTTATGTGGATAATTCTTGTGACAAATACATAGTTTCGTGCTTATATTTTTGTATATATATTTTTAGCAGCACCACATCTTTATCAGAAAATTCCGAGAATCCAAAAATTGGTACTGTTACAAGTTGCAGATATTTTAACTCGACCTCTTTCCTGTTCCACGGATAATGGAACATCTTTAAGAGGTTTAAAAATATTTTGCGTCAGCAATTTGTTATCAACCTACGTGCCCTACCTCGGAAAAGCAAAAAAACTTTATATTCGAACGTTTGCTCAGGTGTACCGAATTCTGGCAGTTTGGAAACGCGCAACACTTTTAATATTTTCATCCAACTTCATTACCTTAAAATTTTTTTTCTACTTTTTTAAGAAACAAAAATTTTTCTGCTAGTGAATCTGGTGGCATGATTTTAGTTTAATGTCATAAACTTGTTAAAAGTGAAGTGGTCGGCAACAACAACGAATGTCAAAAAATTAAACTACCTTCTGCTTTCACAGCTTTACGTCATGAACGAAAGACACAAGATCCCGTAAGAACAAGAGAGTGAAAAAAGTCGATTTTTTTTAGCGGGTTCTACGCCATCTTGTTTCACTGGAAAATGAGCGAAAAGTAAACAAAGCAAAGAAAACGAAAACTAAAATTAGTCAAAATTATTGTCGGCCACTTTAAAAGCACAATTTGGGTAAAACGATGCAACAAAATGCTTTAAAATGTGTTGTCATGTTGAATCAACTCTTCTTTACTTGAATAAAAGTGTAAAATAGTGGTGGTTGTGATGTAAACAAACGCTCAGCTGACGAACCCGCTTTCGCAAACTTTTTTCTCAAAACCAGTTACAAATACAACGTCGCGTTCTTACGTGGTCTTGTATTTTTGGTTCATGGCTTTACGTGTTCATTTCTCTAAATATTGCCCTTCGACTAAGCAAGAGTGCCATACTTTCAGCTAATATAGCCATTTTGCGGGACAAAAAGCAAAAAAATGATCCAATATTTATAAGACAAAATTGTTTAATAGAAAAGAAAACGCCATAAGTTTGTAATTTATCTATGTTTTTATATTTAAGTAACACAAACATGACTTCTGATGTAAAGCTTAGCTACGTATAACGACAGTTTCCTTTGTTAAACAAAAATAAAGTGGTGTACAGCTTAGCTACGTATAAATAATCTTTATTAACCAAAAAAATTCAATGGATTTACTAGTCTTTCTAATTGTAGTTTATGTATTTAAAAAAAATTGAATTCTGGTTGAAACATTTTAGCCGTTTTTAGCCGTTTTTTTGTCCAATCTAGCCGGTCGCCCCGAAAAGTTCTGGCAACACTGGCTAGGATACCCCAACAACGATTTTTGTTGCAGTTGCAGAGACGAGGAAGACGTGGAGACCGTTGAACACTATCTCTGCCATTGTCCCGCCCTGGCCAACTCGCGCAACCGATTCTTCAACAAGTACTTTCTAGACTGTTTAGCCGATTTGAACTCGGCGAACTTCCTTTTTGTGCTATATAAAACGCAGTTGGTGGTTCAATTACTAAGGAAGGGCAAGAAACAAATTGCTTCGGCCAATGGTATCACAACGGGCTTTTCCAGCCCACGTGTGCTCCGCGCTCTGCGCGGGGCTGCCACTCCAACCTAACCTAAGGGTAATGATCAGGGAACGGATTTTTGGGACCTAAACACCTATAAAAAAGGCAAAATAAAATAACGAAATAGGCTGGAAAAGGCAAAATAAAATAGCGAAAAAGGCAGGAAAAGGCACTAGGTATTGCACAAAAACTAAAAAAAAGGCAAAACAAAATAGCGAAAAAGCAGAAAAAGGCACTAGGTATTGCAAAAAAGCAAAACAAGGCAATAAAAAAAGACAGAAAAGTCGAAGAACAATCAAAAAATACATTTATTTTAGAAATGTTTATATTACAAGCGAAAATAGAGAAACTATGAACTAGTTTCATTATACGAAAAATTTGTACTTCGAATCTTTGACTATTTTATCCTTTCGAGTTTCTAACTCATAAAACTTTAATCTGTATAGTTGTAGTAACATTGAACCACAAGATGCATTTTGAAGTTGTCTGGCAGCATTTTCATTAGATTTTCGCGAAGAAAAGCCTTGAATGTACTAAATGTGCGCTCGACGTAAGTTGATACAAGTGGAACCCAATTTAAATATGGAACGTTTGAAACGTTCATATTATCAGGAATAAGGGCGTTTTCCTCGCCCTTTACAATTTTATCCACACCCCTTATTGTCTATAAGCCTACGTTAGCTGGGAAAACGGATTTAAATTTTTCCAAAACCAATTTGGCAAGAGGTCCCTGCGCTTCTATAAGCCGCATGGGCATGTGTATATTTTTTAATCTTAAAAAAAAAATATTGTAAATGCTATAATCACTTTTTTAAAGTTAGAAAAGGCAAAAAAGGCAAATATCTTAAAAAAGGCAAAAAAAAGGCAGGTATCTTAAAAAAGGCAAAAAAAGGCAACATCAGATGTGTATATATGGAATCAGGGAAAGCTAAATCGTGGACATTCTCAATCGAATATACTTTATCTCTTTAGCAGAAAAAAAAGGCAATTTCCATAAAATCCGTTCCCTGGTAATGATAATGTTAATGATATTGCTGATCGAGTATAGCGTTGATACAAAATTATAATCGAACTCTGAAGAAAGAAGACCAAAAGCAATTTATTTTGCAAGTACATAGTTCATCGCCAGAAATATCCAAATTAAAAAGAACGTTAATGTTTAAAAAGGTAATAAGAAATAAGTAAATGGATTAAAACAATATTCCCATTACAGCATAAATTACTACGTTTCGATCAAATTACTTACATAAAACAAGTAAGTTCACATTTGCTTTCGTAATTTCTATAGCACGTGTACGTACGAGTGTGTGGTTTGTACTTGATTTCAAAAAACAAATGGTTGCATAGCTTTAGGCATTTTTTCAAATTTCCCTAACAGTGGGGGCTATAATAAATGAAAAATCTTTTTTTCTTCATTTGGTTCTTGATTTATGATAAATTATTTCATTTCTATTTAATTTATTGACAGATTTTACAAGGCGAAATCACTTTATTTCAGCGTGATTTGCTTATAAATTACAAATGAGCCGTAAATTATGATAATGTGAACAAGCTTTAAAACTCTCTCTTCTGTAACAAATCAAGTTCAAAATTAATATTTTCTACACAGTTTGTATAAATTTAGTGTAAGTTTTTCATTCTGCTTTTTTCGACTTTCATAGCCAGATGTGGACACTACCACAAACAAGCTAAAAGTGAGAATGTGTTAGTGTGCCTAATAAACAGTAAGCCTAGTAAACAGGTTATTTTAAGGCCATAAATTCGTTAGGTTAGTTAATTTTGATCACCCTAACATACATATAATTTTTTTTTGGAAATCTAATTCCTTAATAGGAGTCGTAAATTAAACAAACCTTTAAGACTCGCTCTGGGAAATCCCTACTTTTTTGGATAGGATATCTATCCATTAATTGAGTAACTGCTTTTGAAATAATTTCTCGCTTTATTGTCTTTCAGATACTATGAAACTGGTAGTATTCGTCCCCGCGCCATTGGCGGCTCGAAGCCGCGCGTTGCCACCGCGGAGGTTGTGAGTAAGATTTCTCTGTACAAACGTGAATGCCCCAGCATCTTTGCGTGGGAGATACGCGATCGACTGCTGCAGGAAGGAATATGTACGAACGACAACATTCCCAGTGTAAGTTATTCAACAGCAAAAAAGCAGAAAATAATGAATCGAAATCTCTGCTACTTTGTTTTCTTCACCCCCTCTCCCCAACCATTTGCGTTTAACGGAACTTTTCCCCCAAACCACAAATGTCCCAAAAATCAGTTCAAGTGAATTCGAACACTTGCAAATTACCACAAAGTATCTGCATAACACAAAATGGTGAGGATACGAATAATCTGGTCCCTCGCGTGTCTTTTTTATATTCCGTTTTTTTTTTCTTTTTCACAACCTCCGTGGTTCATAATTTCTTTTTACTCCCAATTGTTGACACCTCCAACCACCACCCTTGCTGCCTGGCGCAACCATTTTCACACTTATTTAGCATTTCTTATTTTGTCTTCTTTTGCTATATTACCTTTCTTATGTGTTGGTGTTCTTTCTCTTAGTAAAACGCTTCAATGACTGAAGCGCTCATTCGTTCACGCATTCAAATGGACGAACGATGCGACTTCCCCGGCCGAGCGTAAGCCAATTGGGAGTGAGGGAAGGAATGGTTTGTGTTGAGGAGTGTGAAACCCCAATTGTCGACTTGAAAAGCGTGACGGAACGGAATAGGAGTTTTATTTAATAATAGGGGTGAATAATTCAGAATACTAAGCGTGCAGAATAAATCTAAGCATTTTTTCTATTTGTCAAAATACTTACATACATACAGATGCACACTTAAACATGTATATATATACAGCTTTGTAAATACCCTGTCGGAAAATCTACTACGAGTAATTTAAAAGCAAATACATATGTACTTTTTGGAGTTTAACTTTTTAGGCGTAGACATTGTTTTTGAACACTCTATGCGAACACTTAAAAATCCACTATTTATTGCATTTTTTATGATTTGCATGTAGCTGTGCATTCTTCTCACAATTTTATATCACTCCAAGGACAAGACGCTGTAGTCCTTGTTGTGCTAAAAAAATTTCGCGGCACAACTACTCTTAAAATGTCTACGAAAACAATAAAACACAATACAAACTTTATGTTCCTTTAGCTTTAATGTGAGGACTGAAATTATTTTGATGATTTCATTATTTCCTTTAAGTTTATTGGGAGCTTTTACAATTTTACCCTGAAATCATTTGACGCTGAAAGCTTGCTGGTGTATTTTTTTAGCCGACTTCACAAATTCATTTCGTCGGAATATTTTTTTATTATTTTTTTTATGTTTGTTACCGCATAACTTTGGACCACGTTAACCGATTACTATAATTCTTTTTTAAAGGAAAGGTGTTACCTGACAGGTGGTCAGGTTTAAATCCGATCACTGGGTCATGAATAGATTAACGATGATCTTAAATTCTTAGATGGGAATTTAAATCGGTTTTGTTTTTTTTTGCTTAAAAATTACTTGTTTATGTAAGCATTTGTTGAAAATGCGGTCTCACATAGAAATGTAAAAGTAATGCCCCTATGCGCTATTGTGAATTTCGCTCGGTTAGGTTGTTTAAAATAGTATATTTTTCACCGCTGAGAAATTTTGTTTACAAATCGAGCTAACTAAATAGTGTGCTTATACATATGTATGTAAATTTGTGCAAATTAAAATGAGAAAATAAGAAAGCGAGTTTATAAAAACGTGGTAAAACTGAGTATAACGGAGTTCTGGTTCAACGATTCGTCAGAGGATGAGAGCTTGGTAAATTGGCCAGGAGTAGAAAATTTTTAAGAGGGTAGTGTAGTATTTCGAATATATTTTGACATAAAATATATTTAAGAAATTTGTCTATAGATTTATTCAAAACTTCCGACTGTCTAAAGAGTATTGGGATTTTCTTTCACAAGTAAAACTAGCCTTTCGAGCTTGTGTTTAATATTCACGACGTTAGAACTGCATGAAATTAATAAAAATTGTTTACAATTAGTAAAAAAACAAATGCAAAATCATAAATTTTTTTAAATTTTCTAACACTTCGCTACACCATCGAAAGTAAAATTCTGTTAGACAGAAAATTCGATACTCAACGAAAATTTCGACACGGTTGCATAGTTCATAATTTCACTTTCGATGTTCGATCTTCGATAACCAGTGAAGAAAATAACGCTAAGAAAATAATTTTTACAGCCAATTTCACGAAAGCAATTTAAGTGATAAATGACTTTAATTTTTTGAATGTTAAATGGAAATTGCTAGTGAAACCGGCTGTTATCAATTTTCTTAGCGTTAACTTCGTAGTTACATACGTTTTTCTGATTACTTTGTTTATTTATGGGGTTTTCATGCAAATTGCTAAAAATTCTAAAATATATATTTCACCAGTAAAAAAATCTCGACGTGTTAGAAAAAACCAGAGATGTATTTTAATTTCGCAGGCCTCTATTATCTTCGTAGTGTCATTCAATTCGGGTTTTAAATCTAGTGCCGGCATCTTCCTAGTCGCCAGGGAATACCGAGGGATCATACAGTGACTTCTCGTGGCGTTTTCAGCCTCTTGCTTCATCCTAGACATCGCTCCTTTCGTTTTTCCAACCACCGCAAATATCCGCACTCTTGCTCCATTTCAAACCATTGTTCTGTACAAATTTGACGATAGCTTTAAAAATTTCGTCGCTAGTGGCGTAAGGCACCCCGCACATTAAGCGCCTAGTCACAGTAGTATAATCGTTCCGGCATACAAAAGTATGAAGCTTTTATGCCGAACACATGTATGTACTTCAATAAAGCTCTGTGTATTACGATTCATAATCATGTTTTCGCCTAATCATAAAAGCTTCACGAATCGAAGCGCCCATCTCTGTAAAGGGCCATTCACATACAACTTTCCTCGCTTTGCTTAACAGTTCAAACTTTGACAACAAAGCGTTAAACGCGGAAGGTATGCTACAATAAACGCTTTGACAGCTTTTGCGTTCTCCTTTTCCTCCATATATTTTCTCTGTAAAATAGATAACAATATAATAATATGCATTAATAATAGCAATAAAAATTCCTATTTACCCTATTTTTGTCATTAAATGCAAATGCAAGCGCACGAGAAAAGATACATGTAGATAGCTGATTGCCAAAGCGGGCAAAAGTTGAGAGTTGCCCAAGATTTTGCTTCGTTTTGCTTTGCTTTGCTTTAAACGTTTTTTATGTGAGCATACTCATGCATATGCCTACATCGATCTTATATGTCAAAGCAAAGAACTATCAAGCAAAGCGAAGAAAGTTGTATATGAATCAGCCTTAAGGCGCTTGCCGTTTTGAAATCATCATTTGTCTACTTATTTTGTATTGGAAATAAAAAATATTTGTCATTTCAATATGAAATATTGAAAGTGAATGATTTTGTGCCAATTGTACTAAACCATAAGCGGTTATGCAATAGTTTATATCAGAAATATTCCACTTCCGCGAGTATTTCACTCAGAAAGAACGGCCAGAAAATGTATATTGTGTGTGCCACCAGGGCTTATGCAAGGCGCGAGTGTGCAGAAGTCGAGTCGTGGTGCATTCGTTTCGGCATGACGAAACGACTACTCTACTACGATTAGGCGCGTAATGTGCAGAGCAGTGTTGCCAAACATGGGCTTTTCCTACCAAAACTGGTAGGTTTTTTTTCCATTTGGTAGGTTGGTAGGCTTGATTGGATTTTGGTAGGTTTCGGGACTACGAGTAATAGTTATTTGAGAAAAGTAGAAAATATGTATCTCTAAAAAATTTAGCAATTTTTTATACCCGAGCGCACTTGTGCACAAGGGTATATTAATTTTGTTCACATAACGGTTGTTTGTAACAGCCAAAATGAATCGAGATAGATATAGACAAATGTATACATAAATGCTCAGAATGAATAGAGAAATCGATTAAGCCATGTCTGTCTGTCCGTCCTTCTGTCCGTCTGTCCGTCCGTCCGTGTACACGATAACTCGAGCAAAAATTGAGATATCTCAACGAAATTTGGTATGTAGGTTTCCGTTAATCCAAGGTAGGTTGGTATTGAAAATGGGCGAAATCGGACCGTAACCACGCCCACTTCCCATATAACGGTAATTTCCAGAAATACGAAAACTGCGATATTTTAGTAACTACTGAAGATAATTCACTCAAAATTGATATTTACAATAACTTTCAGACGAAAAGTAAGAATATTATACATTTTTGGAAACTTATGGTTACATGTGTATATCTTGGTAACCGCTGCACCAATTTCTTCCAAACTTGATACAGCATACTAAATGGCCGAAAATTTTAAAAATCGGCCCATACCACGCCCATATCCCATATAACGGTAGTTTTCGGAAATACGAAAACTGCGATATTTTAGTAACTACTGAAGATTTTTCACTCAAAATTGATATTTACAACAATTTTTAGACGAAAAATAAGAATATTATAAATTTTTGGACGCCCACTTATGGTTACATGTGTATATCTTGACAACCGCTGCACCGATTTCATCCAAACTTGGCACAGTTGTTGGCCTTAATAAACAATAAACACGCCCACAGTCCACAGGGTAATTTAGAGAAATACGAAATCTTCGATAAATCAGTAAATATTAAAGCTAATTTATTCAAAATTTACGCTTGCAACAATTCTTTACCAAGAAATACGTTTATGGCAAAATTTTGGAAAATGGGCGTGGCACCGCCCACTTATGATCACTAATATCTATGTACATCGGTAACCGTTCTACCAATTTGTACCAAACTCGGTATGGTTATTGTGCTTGCCACATGAGAGCAAAACGTTGAAAATTATTGAAATCGGACTAAAATTACGGCCGTTTTCTTATAACGGAAAATTTCAGAAATGTTTGAAACTGCAATATTTCGAAATTTAAGGACGCTAATTTACTCAGAATTGATACACCCCGGCTTACCATGTAGCGGTAGCTTTGGGAAAGATGAAAAAACATATATTTAATACTTGCGGCAGGTATTTAATGTTCGGCTCCACCCGAACTTAGACTTTCTTACTTGTTTTTACATGAATATGTCACCGGTGCGTTCGTATAACGGCGGCCGCAAACATGATTCCTCAG